CTGCTGCTGCTGCTGCTGCTGCTGCTGCTGCTGCTGCTGCTGCTGCTGCTGTTGCTGCTGCTGCATGTGCAGCACCGTGTGTATATTTTTCAGTGTTTTTTCGTTTGAATTTAAATAAATATATTGGCAGCAGCTTTTCTGAAGAGAAGAAGAGCAGCAGCAAAGCGAACACTCTTGAAACACAACTCATCGATTTGCTGCTGCTGCTGCTGCTGCTACTGTTGCTGCTGTTGCTGCTCCTGTTGTTCTTGCTTCTTCAGCACTCAGGCGGCTGACTTTGGTGCTGCGCTCCTGCAGCAATAGCGAGTCGTTGCTGTTGCTGCTGCTGCTGATCCTTCTACGAAGACAACAGCTGCTGCAGCTGCTGCAGCTGCTGCAGCTTCTGCTGCTGCTGCTGCTGCTGCTGGTACCCGTTCCAGCTCCTCTCCTGCCGCTGCTGCACTCGCTGCACTTGCGGCATCAGCGGAAGCAGCAGCAACAGCCGCCACCGCTGCAGCAGCGGCAGCAAACTGAGCAGCAGCAACAACTGCAGCAGCAGCAACATCAACAACAGCAGCAATAGTAACACCATCAGCAGCAGCAGCAATAGCAGCAATATCAACAAAACAGCAATAACAGCAACAGCAACGACAACAGTATTAACGGCAACAGCAACAACAGCAACGGCAACAACTCCACCTGCAGCAGCAGCAGCAGCAGCAGCAGCAGCAACAGCAACAGCAGCAACAGCAGCAGCAAGATGGGGAGTAAGCCATCGACTAGGCGGAGCGATTCGCTAGAACCACTGAGTAGAAGAACCTCTAGAAGCATTCAGTGGAGTCGTATATGGCGGCAGCAGCAGCAGCAGCAGCAGCAGCAGAAGCAGCAGCAGGAGCAGCAGGAGCAGCAGGAGCAGCAGCAGGAGCAGCGGGAGTTGCAGATATGGAAGGAGCAGCAGCTGCAGAAGCAAGTAAGCGAGCAGCAGCAGCAGCAGCAGCAGCAGCAGCTGAGGGAGCAGCAGCAGCAGCAGCAGCTGAGGGAGCAGCAGCAGCAATGCCAGCTGCTGCCCCCTAATAGCTCTGGCTGGTTTTATTCATTAGGCGATATTCGAAGACTGTATAAACTCAGCAAAGAGCCGCTAGGCAGAGGCTCCTTCGGGTAAATAAATCTGTCTCCTTTTGTCTCCTTTTGTCTCCTTTTGTCTCTCTTTTGTCTCTCCATTTGTCTCTTCGTTTGTCTCTTCATTTGTCTCTTCTTCTGTCTCCTCTTTTGCCTCTCATTTTTCTCTTCATTTATCTCTCTTTTGTGTCTCCTTTTGTCTCTCTTATGTCTCTTCATTTGTCCCTTCGTTTGTCTCTTCATTTGTCTCTTCTTCTGTCTCCTCTTTTGCCTCTCATTTTTCTCTTCATTTATCTCTCCTTTGTGTCTCCTTTTGTCTCCTTGTGTCTCTTCATTTGTCCCTCATTTATCTCTCTTTTGTCTCTCCTTCGTCTCTTCTTTTGTCTGTCTTGCTCTATCCTCTTGTGTCTCCTTTTGTCTCTTCATTTGTCTCTTCATTTGTCTCTCTTTTATCTCTCTTTTGTCTCTCTTTTGCCTCTACTTCTGTCTCCTTTTGTCTCTTCATTTGTCTTTTCATTTGTCTTTTCATTTGTCTCTTCATTTGTCTCTTCATTTGTCTCTCTTTTCTCTCTTCTGTTGTCTATCTCGCTCTCTTCTCTTGTGTCTCCTTTTGTCTTTGTTTGTTTTTCTTGTCTTTTTTTTGTGTATTTTTCGCTGCTTTTAGCTGACATTTGCTGTCTCTGTTTCTTCGTTTGTCTCTCTCAGTTTTTGTTTTCTTTTTTTCTGTCTCCTTTTCTCTTTCTTCTTTTCTGTCTCTTCTTATTGTCGCTCTTCACTTCGTTTTCATGTGGCGTCTGCTGCTGCATTTGCCGCTGCTGCTGCTGCTGCTGCTGCTGCTGCGTCTGCTACTGCACTTGCTGATGCATCTGCTGTTGTTGCATCTGCTGCATCTGCTGCACCATTTGCTGATGTATCCTGCTGCTGCTGCATCTGCTTCTGCATTTGCTGCTTCATCTGCTGCTGTTGCATCTGCTGCATCTGCTGCTGCTGCTGCTGCTGCTGCTGCATTTGCTGCTGCTGTTTCTCTCTTTTTGTGCAGTGCATTGATATAATACCATCCACATTATTTTCAAACGAG